TATTTCATCTGGTGAAGGTTTATAGCCCAATCATATCCACTGAAATGTGTTTAAATTTGTGCAAATGCACAAGAATGCACCTAGCCGTAATTTAGGATTATTCGTTGCCGAGCATCCAAATTTCTTTGAAATAATGCGACTTTTTTCTCTTGAACAAGGCTAAATTCAGGAAGTCGTAAAAAGTTTAGGAAAATCACTATGTGCACACATTCGAAACATTTTATCTAGTGCAAGCGTCCGTTTTGTGTGCATTTATAAAAATTGATGAAAATACTTGACTTTATATTTGCCATCAAATCGCGACTCACCCTTGTGCAATTGCACAACATTTTTTTCGTTGATTTTTGGAAATCTAGTAAAATATTTGCTTTCAAGTATGTGAATGCGAATGTCATCTTAGTATCAGCAAACGTCGAAGAGTTTTGATTTTACTGAGCTTTCGCATAATGGCCTAAATTTTTCTTGGTCCGATCCCTACTCTTTTATTTTTTTACTTCTTCTACTTTTTGCATTCTTGCGTTCTAGTGAACAAAAAACATTTATGATGGCGTATACTGTGGTGCACTCAATAATATGTACCAAATAAACCGGCTATATAGCCATAATAAAAATTGTTATAAAGTAGGTTTACTTGATCAGACAGACCTGCTGAAAGAATTATCATTTATCTTTCTTTCCCTTTATTTCTACCCCTTTCCTCTCTGCCCACCATCATCAGCCCAGCTTATGACAATAGTTCTGAGCCCCACCCGGGGAAAAAAGCCCGACGCTAGCCCACAGCCCGCACTCCATCCGGATTTGCCCGTTCTGCTCGTTGATGGGGCGCTCTCAACGAATGATGTGGTCCCCGCTGTCGTCGACGTCGCCGCCGTCGTCGTCGTTGGCCGTTCGATTAGCTATTCATTGCGCTATCGGGCCGCTCCAACAACGTATTCACAGCTCTTTCACTTCGGCTAATGCTATTCTTTCGTGCGATTCTGCTTTTGCACCGAGCACAAGTGATCCGACGGCTTTTCTGCACTTTTTTCGAACACTACCTCAAATAGTTGGCACCTCGAGAATTGTAAGTGTCGAGCAAGAGGGGTATTACACTGCTCCGAATATATTGATTGTGCGCTAGTTATCCTGTGAGGCTACGGTAGGTATACGGTAGGTGGGTCAAAATCCCGAATGTGCTCAATATTCGTCTAGTGGGTTCAGACATGCTGATGCAGTCAGGTATGGGTCCAAAGAAAGTGTTTTGTGGTTCTTCAGTTTATTTGCGATCACGATGTCTGTCCATTTTTCTATAGGCGTGTGTTTAACTTCAGTTATATTATTTTCACCCTCAACCACACCCTAGCCCCAAGGTCGTTTCGTGCTTGCGCTATGCACTTGAGTAGTTTTTTTTTGAAGAACTCTCAGAAATTTCTCTCTACTTGCCAGTGTTTTTCCAGAAAAACCACTCGCGTTCTCTTCCACATCTAGAATTTCAATGGAAATTTCCCTCCAACAACTATTGGGGATTGAATTGCACGCCCACTAATCCCTACGATTCTTACCTCGCTTATTCAGAACAAGTGCAGTTTCATGAAAATCTGGGCGATTTTAGCCTATCTGTTTATATTCTATAGCTTGTCCTAGATCTTTTATTTGCTATAAGTGCTTGTAAACATGCGATCAGCTCAAGATTATCCCGCTCACATCACAAAGTGCATTTTTTTTTGCATAACAATGGTGCTTATCTTCTTACGCCATCATAACATTGTTACAGTCATTTACATTTTTATTTTCTGCTACGTTTATTGATACCACATTGATATTCAGTGGCATGTATATAGTCTGTTTTATTAATGACAAAATGTCATCGCATGCTTTTAGCTGGAGACCTGTCCGATTTGTTGATTATCGGATTTTCTCATTTTAATGATGTATTTTTTGTTATGTCCTTGAATTACTGTAGATAGCAAATTGCCAATGCAAACATCATTAAGCGCTGGAAATTTTTTGCTCTATTTTTTTCATGGCTTTCTCTTTTCTCTTTAAGGAAGTACCACGAAATGCACATTTTTTGCTTAATGTTTTTGTAGTAAAGCATCGGCAAAAGGTTGAAAAATACCATATAATCAGCATTTTTCCGAACAAAATGCCTTCCCTTTCTTATGAGGTTTTTTTGGAAGTTTGTGATTTTCAGTTTATTTTACTTCTCTCGGGTTCTTAAGATGACAAATGTAAAAAGATATAGAATCAGCAAATTCTTTTGCGAAAGGCCGTAACTAATTTTTCTTGAGTCCTGTTTGGATTCTGTTTTTACCGCGCTCTTCCAGATATTGTCGTGTTACTAAGCGGTGACAGAAAGGTAAAATGCCATATAATCGACATTTTTGGACAAATTGCCATTTCTGTTTCACAAATCTAGTTTGGCTTTGAACATTGTCTACCATAAGACACCATTAAGATTGTTTCTACTTATAAAAGCCTTCAGAAACAACCTTAATTTACTTTTTTTGCTCTTATGAAGAAAGTTGCTGCATATTAAATTCTATTGCATCCATCGAAGAGAGTTAATTGAATTGCATCTTCTTCGTTTCCCTTTTTATAGTGTCTTTGTCCTTCGTCCTTTCATGTTTACTTTTCTATCTTTATAACTCGTAGAGACATTGAGTAAACATCATTCGTATTAATAAATAATTGATGTGCATTTGCAAATTTGTTGTCGGTTTTATCATCAAACGTGGCTAATTTACTAACTGTAAGTGAATGGTGACTACTAAAAATTACAATTTATTTTCTTCTTCTTGGAGACGAATTTTAGATGTAGTTGTCTAAATATTGATTGATTATTGATTCGAATCCTACATTTTTGGTGCGTTCTAAGTGACAATAAATTGCAATAAAAATACGTTTTTGATACAGGTGAAACGGCAAAAATGGAAGATGACAAAAAAGTAGCAATTTTCGAGAAATTGCCGTTTCTTCGTTCTCATGAATTGCTTGAAAGTCTGTGAACATTGTTTAATGGTTGATCTCACCAATGAAATTTCGAATTTCCAAATTATTTGAGGCATTCGCATCTTACTTTTTTACTTTATTAAGAGAAGCTGTTCTTCTACCCTCTTCTCTATCGCTATAGAAAAATTTTATTTGATTTAATATCATCTTTACTCCTTATTGCTTTACTAACTACTTTTGTATCCTATAACTCGCAGTTACATTAAGGAGACGTCATTTGTGCTTGGTTTGTTTGTTTCTTTGTCGCTGGAACGCGGAGTCACACACTTCACTCTCGTCTTTACTTTAGTCATTAACACTATCTGCACAGGCAATTCTTCCATCGCATCGCGTTCGTAAGGGCAAACGTGCTCGTGCGCGATTCCACGAATCGCGCTGTGATTCATAAAATCGCATATCGTGTCTCTCCCGCATCTAATTAATCATCCCCTTTGAGTGACATAATTCAACGCTTCTCTCTTGTTTATATTATCTTCTTGCCTCGACACGGCAGATGCTTACGGCTAATCCACCCCTTCCCCCTCTCTCTTGCCCTGCACATGAGCTTAAATCCACTCGCAAAAGCCAGTGACGCTTCAGGACACATTCCCAAGTTGTTGTCGTGCCCTTCGATGTTATGTTTGGGAGTTTCTGGCTTCATCACTCATTTCCTTGAAGATATTCCCCATAGAGCCCTCAAGTACACTCTCTCACTCCCCTCCGCTTCACCTCTATTGAGATTTGAGGACGCTTTGAGAGATGTCTTCGAACAATGCACTGCGCATGCTTGTCTCCAGCCGCTCTCAAACTTTCTCCCCGCTTTCCATTCTTGTATATCTGGATGAGTATTGCGAGAGAAATCTGTGCAAATACGACGTATCCTTCTGTATCGTGCAGCTGGATAAATCCAGGTGTTTTCAGGCTTTTTTTTTTCGACTCACAATTGTGACGTGGTGAAGCGTGGAGATTGACAAAATCGTCTAAATTTTGTCTAAAAAGTCTTATTCTCTTTTGAGATATGAATGCAAATTTTGAATATAATGTATGAGCAGTGCATCAAGAACCTTTTCTATTTTTTTCCACATGTTTCTGCCTCATTCTCAGAAGTATAGAAGGCTTCTTATCATTCCCAAATTAGTCAGCATTCGCAGGCCGAGCAAGGTTGAAATCTCGAAATGGACTACATATTATAATAATTATACAAGTGAGTCTAAAAAAATTGAATTCAGTCTTGTGAAAATTTAGGATCTCTCTTCCAGTTTGGATTTTGAAGTGTACACAATTACAAATTTGGGAATATTCCCAAAAGCTTTTATTGCTGGCTAATGACATCCGTTTAGATCAAGAGTCTTTCTGGGACTGCGGACTTTTACAATTTTTGCTTTTTTGAGGCTCCGACCTTTTATAGAAGGGGTTACAAAATGATAAAGTGATTTCCCCAAGAATTTGCGGAATTTGAATATCTACAGATAAAAAGGAAGTACTTTTGTAGTGCCATGATTCATTTAACCACTATGAAACCCCTCTTCTTGACCCGTCGCTGGTTTGCGTACAAATTATTTTCATCTTCGGAAAATCCCCCTTAAGTTATTTTTTGTATTGGGTAAATCTTTGATTTTCTTTTGTCAGACTTTTTTCAAAGCATTAAACCTCACTCTTCTCATGCATTCTCAACTTCTCTATCTGCATGATGTGACTTTTTCAAAAAGTCGAAGATTTACAATTTATCTAGAGCTATCTGTTTATTTCGTTTAGGCCATATCCTTGAGTGTTTCGTGTTGTGTTTATTCAGACAGAAGTGTGTTTATTCTTTTCCTTCTTTTTTGCCTTGAAAATGTTTCGCGACTCTGCACTTAATGTTGTTGAGAAACTCACGTATTTTCTCTCGCCCACTCGTTTACTTCAACCAAAACGCATTTCCATTCACTTTGCACCACACGTTCGGGTTTCGTTTCGTGCTACTTCGTGTCAATCTTTTTTTCCTACTTTCGTATTTTTCACTCGACGTAAATTTTCACGCGTCCTTCTCAGGTGTACGCGAGTTTCCGATCGACGTGAACGGCGGTGGCGTAGTGCCAGTGTGACTGTGAAGAACAACAGACTCCACCCTTTTTTCACGCACCTCCTCTCTAGGCAAACGTGTAATCAATCATGGTGAGTTCTCGTCCACGTTCTTCTTAAAACTCGTCCAAAGTGTTAATCCGACTGAGAACCAGTCGCGTAGCCTATATCGATTGCGAGGTTAATGATGGTTTCGTCGTCGCTTCGTAAAGAACGGTTTCATCTACTCTCAACCCTAAATACTTCTCATCGCATTTTACATTCATTCCAGTAAAATCATCTCTCTTTCTCTCTCCTTCTCATTTTGCTTTCCTCCACAAAATTTTCTCATCTGCAGACATCCTTACGATAATTTTCTCTTTCATACCTCCTCCCCATATCTCTCTATCTCTTTTTTCCCAAAAAATTTGCCTTCATCTCTGTCTTTTTTGTTCAAAGATCCGATCGATCACTCTTACGTCTGTCCTTCCTAACTCTTTTTTCGTGCATTTCGATGTTATCTTAAGTAAACGGACAAGCGTGCAAAGAGAAGCAAAAACTCCAAGTTCGTGCACTGCTCCGACGTAATGGAATTTTAGCAGCTCTTTTGGAATGTTCATCAGCATTCACTTTTAGAGAGTAATTGCATTAGATTTTCTTGTATATGGGTGGGGCTTGGCGAGGAATTTCCAAATCTTTTTGGCATTTTGAGAAGTGAGAAAACAGCGGTCGCTATTTGCTGCGTAGTCTCTACAATGTAGGTTTTGATTCAAGTTTTTTCCCTTTTATGTTCTAAAACGTTGAACCTTTTTCACATAATATAAAGTATAAGGCTATATAAGGTTATTTTAAGTCTAGACCGGGATTTATTTAATTCCCTGACAGTAACATAGGCATTCCACTGAAAGACAAACAAATACCTAGTACTAAAAAACTCGTATATTAGCCGCAAACCTAAAAATTGTACTTTCTGGTTTCATGAGCATTCGGGCCATTTTCGTAGTCGTAAAATTCTTCTCATGCCTCAGTCTATACGAATCTTCTCGAATCAACAGCATTGGAATTTGCAGGGATAGAGGTGTAGGATTTCCAAGTCATCTCTATTTATAATAATGGCTTTGGCTATTTTTTATGGCGAAGGTACGTTTATAGTAATGCTGTCCAAAAGTACATTCCTCTTGCTGTTGACCAACTTTTTACCAAACCCATTTTTTATGATAGCACTTTCAGATTTTTCAGTTTATGATAGTAAAACGTTTTATCCAATCATCATTCGTATGTTTCTCTCCGAATTCTTAGCGCTAAAGTTTTTATAGTCTTTCTTCGCACTTTTATGTTTGATAACATTAGTTCCGAATGCATGACTTTTCAACAACCTTCATTTCTCCTTTCGCCGGAACTGGAAAATGGAAAAGCTACTTTTTGCTTCCCTGTGCTGTTTCTGTGTTTGTATGTCGTGCGCTTTGCAAGTAATTCAAGCCGAGATGTTTTTGAGCAAAATTATTGAATTGTTCCTCGACATCTGACATAGGAAATCCTAGATGTTGTTCAAGAATCCGAACCATGGAACAAGTCTTGAGAAGATTGGCTCAAGTCTTTTGAACATTGATTTTTTCTCACCAGGCTTTTCAGTTTCACTCTTTCTCAGATTTTTTTTATACTTCTTCTTCGTTGAGACTATTGGTTGTTTTATATTTCCAAAACTTAACTTTATCCTAGTTTGTCAAAACAAGACCTCTTACGCTGCAAATTTTGAGATTTTTAAGTTTGATAGAATAATCATATAAACTGATGAATAGTTAAAAACTGTCACAGCTATTCCACTTTTCCACTTGTGCACTTATTTGCTAACGTCATAGCTTTTGTTCGCATAATCGCAAGCATCTCTTGGGACTGGAGAGGCTATAGAAAAAGCGACTACTTGCTCCAAGTAGCTTCATTATTCTTGCGTAAATGCTTCGATTGCGTGAATGGGTCTATTTTGAGCTGCAAAAGTTTGTGAAGAAGCTTGGAAAAAGGGTTTACTTCCAAGCTCTGCATCCTTGCGGAAGTTTTGCAGAAGTTTAGCAGAGTTCATGACACAAATGTCGTCTCGAGTGAATCACAATTTAGTCAGCTTCTCAATCTGTATAACGTCGTCGTGCTCATTGCGGGCTGTGATCGATTCACTCTACTAGCCCTTCTATCCCCCCGGCGCGCTCGTTCCATAAAATTTTTACGACGGCCCTTTGTGGCTTCGAATCTCGCATATGGGCCAGCGCAGGATTTCCGCAAATGCACTGGCTGTTTAAGCAGAGTGAAAAAACCGTTCAGTTGGGCTGTGCACGCGCTTTGTTTGGATAAACTTGGACTAGAGCGGAGCAAAAAAAGTACTGGTGTGCTTTTTGTCATTTCACAAACTTCAATCAGACTGAACAAACTGTAATCTCAACTGTTTGTTATTGAATGAGGTGGACGGGCTGGGAGTGACATTGCGAAAAATTTCAAAAAATCAAAAGTAAATTGAATTTTTTTGATTCAGTTTCGCTTTTTTATGACCGACTTGGTGTTGTAATAACTTGCTATAAAGTGATAGCCTGTCTTGCAGTCCATTTAGGTAAATGGCCAGGCCTAAAACTCCAAGAGAACTTTGTGTTTGGGGCTGGCAGGAGTTGCTTCTAAAAAGTATTTTTAAGCTTGCAGTTTCATTTGATGGGGTAACGGTCGCTCCTCAAAAGTTGCTATGGCTCGAATTTGGCTTTCGTTGATTTTGGAATTTTTCAGTATTTTTATTCAACTGAAACCAACTATCTGCACAATTTTATAATTCAGGTAGAGACCGCGTCTAAAAATTTCGCGGTTCGTTTTCTGGAGGATATAAACCTCATTCTTGTGCAGTATTTACAAATCTCCTAAATTGTTTCGGGAGGAAAAAAGAAAAAAATGTTTCCTTCTGAGTTTTAACGTTCTACGTGCGGTAACTGTGTGCGCGTTACGGTTCAGCTGAGCAAAAAAAAATCTTTTGCCCTTTCAAGGTTGCTCGACACCGGCCCAGTTGTGATTGATATAGCCTTCACACATTCCATATTTTGCTTCTTTGTTCAAAGTTTTTGTTTCAGAGGCTTGGTTCCACAAACTCCTGAGAATTTATTACATTATTCTTGAAGTTGCTAACAAGGAAACGATTCTTCAAATTTTGCAGTTTCCCTCAGCATTTTCTCTTTCGATATTTCTCTGTTCCTGCTGTGTAATTACTTTGCACCGGATGCTGAATGTCAGGTGTTCGCTGTTCATGGCAAAATGCCAATTGTCTTCAGAAAACCCGTAAAAAAGGGGATAATGACAGCTGTTGTCAGCCCTTTGGTCACGATCTCGTTTTAGTGCTCAATGCTAGAGGCTAAACTGCAGCGTGCAAATCACCTTTCAAACAAAACCTTTTCGATGAAATATCGCTTGCGGAAATGCCCTATTTGATGGAATGGAAAGGGATTAATGTGTGTTGTGAGTGTATGTGAGGGAAGTTGAGTGGCAGGAAGCCCGTGCCGAGCCCGAGAGGCAAAACTCGGGATTCGTAGTGATTATCGCATTGCACTGCATAATCTAGTCATCGTAAGGGGACGTGGAAAGCAAGGGAATTCTTTCGGGGGTTTGCGAAAATGAAGGGAAAGTGTAGACTCTCTAAAAATCTGAAAATTGATGGGCCGTTACCGCAAATTTTCCGATTTATTTTAGGTTATTCAGGCAACTGTAATCGACGTTTTATTTGCAAGGGTGGGGCAGGCTCATTTGTTATCCTCCTTTTTCTTTGGGAAGGCCTCTGTATACAGTCGAGTGTGGCAGTCTGGTGCAATTGCACATCGCCGCACATTTAGCGTCAATACTGGACCTTTTTGACCATGATTCTGGCAAACTTTTCATTTTTTCATTTTTTTTCGATTCTATCGGCCTACTGTATTGCAGTATCTCTGTGGGCAACACATTTACAGTACACCTATGGGCGTTGGAATAAAAAATTGTGGAATAGAAAATAACTTCAAAAATCTCGTCCATATTGATTGAGTTGATTCAGTTAGAGCTTTCTTGTGACTTCGATAAAAATTCAAACAAACAAATAAGCAAAAAAACTGTTACAATTTGTAGTTTATATGAATATGACGGTTAATGTACTGCACCTACCATCCTAACAACATTTGCGCATGAAATATTGCGTTAGTTAAAAAAGTTGGTAAATGCGAGCCATATAGCCAATTTCGCACAAGTGTTGCTTCTCATAAGATGAGAAGCAACACTTGTGCGAAATTGGCTATATGGCTCGCATTTACCAACTTTTACCACCAACTCGACCTTTTCACGCGCAAATGTTGCCGCCACTGTAAGAGCACCATATACCATCGAACTTTCAGACAGATAGGCGAGTTGTGGTCGAAACCCCTTGATTTCATGCTCTTACATATTTGTGTAGCAACACATACCACGAGACTACCGTAGAACATAGTGCATGACCGATAAAACAATTCATAAATCAAATTTTCTTGGCAAAAAAATCCTTTCAAAATCTCTGAAATCGTTCGCACATGTATGCATTTTCTTCTCACATATAAAACCATACCGTCTATTTTTTTTAATCGAAATGCGTAAGTGTGGTTATCCATAACGTTAGAGTCATTCATACAAATACCAAAGTTATAACTCCTTTGTGTGAGTGCCGAGTGCGTTATAGAGATTTTTTACGGTCTTTTCAGCTGTGATTGATGCACTTTTAGTGCAAGTGTTGTGTAAAACAAATTCAATTTTAATGACATTGAGAAAGAGAACTTAAATCAATATGAAACAGTTTTCCAATAATTGCTTGTCCCTTCTTAAAGCTGAGATGGTTTATTTTCCAATTAAAAAATAAAAGAAAAAGTAGTCGTTCTGGAGAGATATTTTTTCTTTTGCCTAAAACCACCAACATCTGCTGAACGATGTACTTCTTTCGCATTCTGATGCACATGAATTTGATTTTTCTAGTTAAAAATTTCTGAAAAAGTGTGTTTTCCTTCCTAAAACAATGTTCTAGCTAAAATTTGCAGATGTGCAGGATAGTTCATTGCAATCAGCCAAGTACATCCATCTGCACTTTATCTATACTTTTG